CCCTCTCCCTCTCCCTCTCCCCCTCTCCCTCTCCCTCTCCCTCTCCCTCTCCCTGGGTGACATGTCCATCCTGGGCCTCCTCCAGTGTCACAATGACACCACTCGAAAACTGGAGGAACAGCACCTCATATTCCGCCTTGAGAGCCTACAGCCCGATTGGCCTAAATATGGATTTTACCAGTTTCAAAATCTCCCCACTCCCGGCCTCATCCCATGACCAAGCCTCCCTCTCATCCCTGCCTCCTTGACCTGAAACAACCTGTCCATCATCTCTCCCACCTATCTGCTGTTCCCACCTCACTGACTAATCCCCACCACTTCCTACCTGCACTCACCTATCTCCATCCCAGTTACCTTCCCCAGCCCCACCCTTCCTCTCTGTATTTATTTCTAAGCTCCCTTTCCCCCTCCCCCATTTCCAAAGAAGGGTTCTGACCCGAAACGTCAACTTTCTTGCTGCTCTGATGCTGCCTGGCCTGCTGTGTTCCTCCAGCTCCACACTGTGTTATCTCCTCGACATTCAGACTTACGCTGATGATTGGCATGTAACATTCATAATACACAACTGTCAAATTTAGCCAGCTCCAACAAGAAGCAATCTAATCCATATCCCCTTGCAATTCAAAGGCATGACAACTAAGCTCTCCAGGATCAATGTTTTAAAAATTACTATTGAATGGAAACTTAGCTAGAATAAGTCAGAGGCTGGAAATTGTGCAGTGAGTAACTTAGCAACTGACTCTTTCCCCCCACTCCCAAAAAAAATCCTTTGCATCATCTACAGGACAGGAATCAGGAGTATGATGAAATTTACCTACTTGCTTGGGTAAGAAGAGCTCCATCAGCACATGGGCTCCACATTTATTCAAGGCATTGCTTAGCATTCCCATACAGCAGCTGAGAAATTACTGATATAGTATTGTGCACCATCCGTAAGATGCCCTGCAGAAGTTTATCAAAATTCCTTCGACATCAGCTACCAATTCCCCGACTACCACCACCCAGAAGAACTACCCAAGGCATAGGTACATGGAGGTACCAAAACGTCAAGGTTCTCCTCAGTGTATTGTACCATTCTGCCATTGTGCTGAGTCGTCATGCTGGAATGTTTTCCCTAGTAGTACTGTGGGTATTCAAGAAGATGGTTCATGCCTACCCTCTCCAGGGCAATTAATGATGGATAGTAAATGCTGGTATTGCCAATGATGCCTACATCCTATGAATTGAATCAAAAGTGGTTCGAGGGGAAGTTTTAGCACCATATATTGAATTGTGTACTTGTCTGCACATGGCTACTGTACTGGTGTGATTTCTAGACAGAAGTAGTGTTATTTGACTGTACGTTGGAGTTGTGATCATATGTTTATTTTCATCCATGGAAATACTGGGGTGATAGGTTGTAAGGAAGTCCCCTGTTTTGTATCTGATATAGGGGATGTATAATCTGTCATGTTTATACGGTAGTCATGGGCTGCTGTTTACTTTCTATATCATTTGACAAATTAATTTACCAACAAAGTCTTTAGGAAGATAAGTATAACCATGCTTAAGAATATTATGTGCTTTTGGATAAAGAAAAATCTACTGTTATGGTATATTAGATATCCATTCCTTACTTTTCCTTACCGCTGAAATGTGCAGAATGGAAAGAATTAGTTTCACACTGTTTACAGTTGATTTACGGTGTAACTGGAGCAGTATTTTCTTTGGGTTTCAATACCAGTGATATGGAGTCATCAATCTGAAGTCATCATGGAAGGAAAGAGGCTAGGGAAATTTGTTTCCATACAGAGATATGGGAACCAGGAATACTCTATGATAGCTGCCAGCTGAGACTATCGCTCATTTACAGGGAAACTTGTTTAATGTATTTGAAGCAGAGAAAGGCAGAGCAAACATGTGGGTGCTAGTTTTAGATTGTTCCGAAAATATGATCCAATCAAAATTGCTGAATTGCCACAGGTGAGGTTATGGGAGCATGTTTTTTTTATGGAAAGAAAGCACCTCACGTGCTCACTAAGGTAAGGACCTTTGACAAAATATCTTTACTTGACAAGCGTCTGTCACCATAGTTACCATGGAAGTAAAACACCGAACAACAGAAAAACATCTAATTTGATTTTTCACCTCAAGATTATGAACAAATGCGCTGGAAAGTTGAAGTGCATATGCATAAACCTATGAATATAAAGTATTGAGATTATGTGCTCGCTGGTGTTTTGCTCTTTGTTTTTATAATCAATCTGTTCAGACCTGTTTTAGCACACCTCTGGAGCAGGTGGGTATTACATCTAGGCCTTCTGAACCAGAGGTAGGGCATTAACATTGTGCCACAAGATCCTCCTTTGCTTTTTTTTAGTTTGCTGGTTATCGTTGTTACGTTACTGCCTCCTGCCTTTATCCCTCCGATGAAGGCAACTTCTGCTTCTGTAGAAATAACTGATAAAAGAGAAATTTAAACTGGTGAAGCAGAACAGTTAAAAGAATGAAAGGAGATTGGGCACATAATGAAGGACAGGTAGCCTCTTTTCCCTTTACAATTACTTGAAGTTTTTTTTAAATTGCGGTCTTAAGTTTTTGCTATCAAAGTTTTGAAGAGCTGAAGTTTAGATACTTTTCTGAACTCTGCACAATTAGAATTTATTTCACCTGACAAATGTGACTTTTTTGTCTGTACAAGCAAATGTTCTGTCTTCCATCTTGATGCTCTCTGCTGCCCTCCTCTTCCTTTTTTTTTCTGGCTTCATTGTTGTATTAGTTGAATAATTCTACGTACTATGTTTAGTTCTTTCCATATTGCTATATCATTGGTAGGTACATATTGTTCATTACTCATCCATATTTGTTTATAAATTTTTTTTTATTGCTCTCAACTTGAATTACCATCTTTGCCACATCAAGGGCTGGTAAATCTTTAGTGGAGTGGGTGAAGTGTCTCTTGTGTGATGATGAACCAGTTTGCTTATGAATTAGATACTGGTTACCTTGTAACAAAAATAGACTTTGTGGATATAATATCTAATTAACTTTTGAGCTGTAGAATTGTATGTGATGCTCAAGGATCTAAATAGTGGGGAAGATAAATATAAACCAGTCAAAACAATTGGCATTTTAATTGATAAATGGAATTTAAAAGAAACATATTTGTATAGTTGAGGCTGACTTTACATTATGGAGAATAGTCTTCATCTTTTAAAAAGCAAGAACAGGCCGTACGGTCAAACTGATCTAGTGTTTATGCTTCACATTACTCCTCTGATCACATTTGACTACTCTTAAGTGGTAGGAAGTTTCATAGTCTAACCATTCTCTTCGACAAAGACCTTTCTTCTGAATTTTGTATTGAATCAATTAGGGACTGTTTGTTTGTTTGCTTGTTTGTTTGTTTTATACTTACGAAGCCTAGATTTGGACTTCTCCACAAGTGGAAATAGATCTTCAGTGCTCACTTTATCAAAACTTAATAATTTTGAATGCATCTGTTGAGAGCTGAAAAGAAAAATCTGAAAGGAGGCACGCCGTAAAGTCATCTTACCAATTACGCAATACAATTTATCTATTGCACTTCAAGTAGCTATAACTTAATGACATAGTGACTGTTTTTCAAAATTCCCCTGCAGTGATTAAAATCAAAAAGAATAAGGCTCCATTTGCTAAAGTTAAATATCTGTGCCAGACACATTGTTTGCCATGTTCAAGAATTGCTCCACAATTAAAAATTTGCTTCAATTGGATTGGACAAGCCCTCACTTTTTTGGGTTGTTTCCTGGTCATCACATAATTGCCCCAACCACACACCATTGCACATATTTAGTGCCATATGTGTCAAATGAGGTGCCAATGTGATGAAAATTCTGGAGAATCAGGGCAATTTGAACTTGCTGATTTCTGGGTATTTCTTTGTGTTCAGTCTCCAGAAGTTGTTGGCTGTTTTACTCATGAATAACAAATACATAAATCTCCAAGAGCATTTGAAACTGGAAGAGATGAGACTGTACACCCACATCAGTTAATTTTCAGTACCAGAATTTAAAATTTATGTTATTAAGAGTATTTAGACTTGAGATGACTTGACAGTTTTCTATGGTGTCCGTTGTAACTACCTGGCAAGTATAGAACTACCTACTGCTCAATGTATTTGAATGTACAGCAAAGTGCCTTTTTCGTAAAACTAACAGGGTGGTTCATTGTAATAGCTAATTTTCAATATTGTGTCAATTGTGCACCTGGCCTTGTTTGAAGATGCTGTGGTAAATGCACACAAATAATGGGGAATAGTGTTGGTCTTGATGTTATCTTGTCACCAAATTTTGGGCACTGTGCAGTTGCTGAAGGTCATTGACAAACATTTGGTTTATTTCTCATCTTCCAATATAAAATTCAATCTTGCTTCATAAATCTACACTTCATGCTTACTGCAACAAAGCAGATTATTTATCTTGAATTGCAGTTATTGGAAATGACAGATTTCGAATGGATGTTAAAGTCCTTAAAAATCTCTAGGAAGATCAATTGTCAAGACTACATTAAGTGATGTATTTAGAGTAAATCTCCAGTAAGTTGTCCATAGGATACTTTCTTATCTGCTTGGTTTGCTGAATGTTTATCTTGTCTGTGTAAGCAGCATGTCTTATAGTGTGGCAAACTTGAGTGTTTGATCTATCCTAATTTTGAACATTAGAATTAATTTTCTTTTCTGCTTTCCCTTGCAGATGTGCGGAGAGACATTATGATGCTAACAAATTTAATTGCAGAGGTGGGTTAAAAATTGTAGGTAGGCACTTCTGTAATGAGGTTTAGAAATGAAGTAAAAACCTATTTTGTACCATGTATCATTTGCTAAATTTGTATTGTGTAAATTAAAGACAGAATAAAGATTGCCCGTTTTTAGGATCTAATGAAAGTAGTTAATGTACATTTCAGTGTTTTCTATAGGTGGAAGAAGTATAGCAAGATTTGTGATGTTCTGTTTACCTTATGACTTCAAAAATGTTGCAACAATAATACAATACTCTAACAGGCCTAATGCAAAATGTCTCGTGTTCACTGGAAAGTTGGCTTTTTTTGACAAGCACGCATGTCACTTTCACCTTGGTATGCTGAAGACATGTGAAATGGGTTAATTTTGATGACAGTAGATAAAATAGCACATACACATGTTAAGTACAGTATATTTACAACATTTGAATAGTGTTATATTCTTTTGTTTTGACAGATATCTTTGTAAACCACAACTTATATTGGCTAAAGTTAAAATAGTCCCATAAGCCTTTCAGTCAAGTTTGTTACAGTTGAATCTTGGATGGATCTTAGTCAATGTTGTGCTATTTTGTTTCTGACTATGGATGAAATGTATGATGAAAAATATAAGAATGGTAGTTTGCTCAGATTTCTGAAAGAGAATTTAATTTCCTATCCTTTTAGTCGCACAATATCCTTTTGAAGACCATAATCCACCGCAGCTAGAACTCATTAAGCCATTTTGTGAAGATCTAGACCTCTGGTTGAGTGAAGATGATAATAATGTTGCAGCAATCCATTGCAAAGCTGGAAAAGGACGGACAGGAGTAATGATCTGTGCTTATTTGCTTCATCGTGGCAAATTTTTAAAAGCACAAGAAGCCCTAGAATTCTATGGTCAAGCAAGGACTATAGATAAGAAGGTCAGTGGAAACATGTTTTATTTCTAAGCAATATGAAATAAATTTGTAAGTCAAGTATCTCGTTGGAATATTGAAAGAATAAGTGATATGCTAATGCTTATGTGCATCTTTAAGGAAAATAAGATACAGAATTTTGGAAAAGGATTTGAAAGACTTTTCACTGAATTAATTTAAAACTGGGGATTAATTTTTGTAATTTTTAAGGATATTTCAAAGCATCTTTTAAATAAGACATATCCAAGTTTATTATTTTCAAACTTCTAAATTTTGGTGTAAGAAAATGGTTGAAATATCTACAGAATACTAATTTTTACATGTATAATGTTCATGCCTATCTTATTATCTTTTGCTTAGAATATGATAAATAGTTGTATTCCGCCTGAACATTTGGCTGTTTCTGGTACTGCACTGCCAAAACAGGATTGGGTTATAATTTTGTCGCAGAAATCTGGCATGTTGTATTCAGTAACAAAACACAGCAGTGAATTGTGATTTGGAAATAAATTTTTAAGAACTGAAGAAAAATCATTTTACACAGTCCTAAATTGAATTGTTTAACCTTTTTAGAATCTTTGATTCCTTGTTTATATCAGAGAATCAGCACCTTATAAATATTACTAAGTTCATATTGTTCCATTACAGAACTATCCATTTTATGAATACCTACTTTGACTGACTGAAACTGAGATCTTCTAATTGGAATTGTATTTTAATTTGTACCTTGCTTGAATGTTAACAGTGTCTGTTTGATAGAAAGTAGTATTGAAAGGAAAGTTCACTGAGGTGTTTAAATTTTTGCATTTTTCCTATTTTCTGCCCACTCTCTCCTGTAAACTCCTGTTCATTTTAGTAGAGAATTAGGTGGAAAATTAAAAAGGCTACTCCCCTTGTTAATTTTTCCTTTCTTTATCAATATTTACTTTAGTTATCCTTTTACGTCTTTACATTCTCTTTTTGTAGAGTTGTCCATTCTCTTATTTTAAACCAATTGCATGCTTTTTGTTTGGTTTTCTTGCTTTTTTCTGTCTTTGATTCACTCCTGTGTAAATTATTATAGCATAGGGTATGCTGTATGCGTTGCCACTCGCAGCCAGTTTCATTGCCCTGCAATTTTTTTTTCTTTTCAGGTCATTATCTAATTCTGTTTTGATGGCCTTGATCGAATCTGCCTCTGTCATTCTCCCAAGCAATGCATTCCAGATCTTAACCATCTGCTGTGTTTTAAAGAAAGTTTAATCTCATGTCGCCTTGCTTCTTTTGGCAGTTACTTGAAATTGGGGTCCCTCGTTCTCAATCCTTCCCTTTAAGGGAAACATTTTCTCCTTATCTGCTTTCGACTGACCTTCCACTATATTGAAAACATCTTTCAAATCTTAAATCTTCTCTTTTCCAAAGAGAACAGCCCAGTTTCTTCAACCTACCTAAATAACTGAAGTTTCTTATCCCTTGAACTGTTCTTGTAAATCTTTTCTGTGCCTGCTCTATTGCCTTCACATAGTTCTTCAATTGTGGTGCCAGAACCGGATGCAATTTACAAGTTTATCACAACATCCTTGCTTTTATACTCCTCCCTAAATATGAATCCTGGACTGCTTTGTAAAATTGCATTGCCACATTGAATGATCTGTGCGCACATTCCTGATACTGCTGTACCCCCTTTAGAATTGTATCTTTTTAAAAATAGTCTCTCTTCATCCTTCCTACCAAAATGCATTGTACTTCTCTGCATTAAATTTTATTAAATGGCACCTTTTTAAAATTAAGTTTTTTATTTGTTCATCCTCTGGTAAAAGGTTATAGTTATTCCGTGGTGGGCATTGGCAGTTGGATAACCCACAATGCACCACTATTTTATCTCCTCTAATATTGACCATTTACCAAGGTTTGCGCTTCTCAAGACTGTTGTTGGAAAGTTTCTTTTCACTTTATTGGCAACAGCTTAATTCTGAACTTATCTCAATTAGCCTGTGTAATACGGACATTGCCCTCGTCACCAGCCAAAGTCAACTCCAAGTTACTAAATTTAGAATTATAAATCATTGGTCATTTTCAATTATTATTGCCCAATATAAGTTTTATGTACTTTCTTTGTTAGTTAACTTGCAATGTTTGTCCCCTTCATTTTCTGAAAGGCAGTTCTGGTTGTGAGGATATGGAAACGTGATTCTCAGGTACAGAACCTCATAGTGCATTTAGCACATGCATTTGAGCAAGTCCAGTTTAGATAATGATTAAGCTGTTAAGAAGTATCAAACATGTACATTAAAATGCACTGATCTACTTTGTTCATTGATTACAAAAACAAAGTTGCTGGAGA